ATTCATACTGCATGTCCTGTAGGTACTTATTATGGCTTCCATCTCCACTATAAATCATTTTATTATGACTGCAGGGTATGGGTATATTACCCAGCTCTGGTTAGTTGAACTGTAGGAGGTTTTAAGATGAGCAAAGGAACTATTGTGAGTATTCAAGCAGTTCAGTATTGAGCTTCCATGATGTTGAGGGAAGACAGATTTAAAAAAGAACAGTCCCATGTTTCCCATCGTGCAAACCTCCTATGCCTGAATATTTCAGGGTATATTATGAGCTGCAGCTCATGTTGCCATAGTAATGTCCAAATGTGAATACATTCAACAGTTGTTGTCTGTCTCGAGATGATACAGAATAACAAGTTGTTAAATGTTACATGTTACATTTTGTGTCACCTGTTTAAATATCATGTTAGACAGATGTTCTCAGTCCCCCCTTTTTAGAATAACAGTGATGTTCAAAATACCTAAATAAATAAAGAGAGCTCTTTAGTTAATTTTTTTACTACATTTGTGTGACATTCAGTTTTAACTGCAGTATTTACAGAGCAATTTGTAAGGTTTGCCTAACTAACAGGTCAGTGGATTTTTGACAATCCCTTTTTGGAGCTGAGCAGAGTGGGTTTGAACTTTATTATCCTAACTTTGTAGGCTACTAACCCTGTTAAATATCAGCTAAGAAATTCCAAATACACAAACACTCTGCACAGTTTGACACAAGTGGGCGCTGTAGAGCGGTACGGTGCATCGACGAGGTGGCCGAGTGGTTAAGGCGATGGACTGCTAATCCATTGTGCTCTGCACGCGTGGGTTCGAATCCCATCCTCGTCGGACGGTACAAATTTTCATGCCATCTACCAGTCGCTAAAAAATAAAGTCGAACCAGTTATTTGTGTAATTTAGCAGTTTTTAGAACGAAGCAAACAACATTAAAAACATTTCTACAGCATATGGAAGTATATAACGTTATATCTCCAGTACATATAACGTTATCTACTCCACCAGTAAAGACAGACGATATCATGTTCAGCTATCAAACGTCTCTCTCTCTCCAAACATGTATAAGTGATGAATATAGAAACATTAGAACTAACGCGGATGTAATATAACGACACACAACAGCGTTATTAACACGGAAACGCTGATGAGTTGTAGCTCCGCACTGTGAACACTAGAGAGCAGTATTCACTCACGATTGTCAATACACGCCATTGCAGTCAGCCCCACCAGTGTAAAGACACGGAACTCAACGTTAGAAGCATAAACCGGGAGGAATGAACACTTCCGGCGGCAGCCTTCAAAGTAAAACGATCACATTAGAGCTGTGTGTGTTTCTAATGTCTACAACCAAAGTTTGAATAGTAGTAAACATCAACAACGACTAACATGCAGCTGGTTGCAGACCTGCTCCTAATTGCTCACGTGACAGCAGCATACGTCACATTGTACACAGGAAGTGTGTCCGCAGTCGGTGACACAGTTTGACACGCGACCGCAGCCCGGGTTTCTGTCGGTGTTCGTGCAGGAGTCCAGCGGTTGTCTTCAACATGAGCATAGAGGCCTGGTACATGGACAGCTCTGATGAAGACCAGAGAAAGCCGCACAGACTGACCCCAAATCAGCCCGCTTCCATGGAACAATTACGACAGCTCGGGGTGTTTCACTGGAAGGTAACGTAAGCTTCCGTACACACTGTGTGGGCTCATATAACCACTGTGACCCTAATTCCAACTAATAAGTCACATGTTGTTTTAGTTGTAGTTCTGTATCTGTTGTGTTTAACGTTGTAACGTTGGGATGGTTTACGGAAGCCCATTAATGCCAATGCGACAAAGATTCTGTGAGTAATTCTGATGAGAAACTTTCTCTGAATATTGACTTATGATCTCAGAATAATGAAGTCAAAATACTGAATACGTTTCTCATTATAAAAACTTACAGAATCCTTTTTTCCATCACACTGGCAGAAATGGGCTTCCATAGATAATAACCAGTGGGAATGCACAGGAATCAGATTGTCTGTGATTGTATTATCAGTACATGAGAACAAGGTTATTCTAGCTAACTGAAACTAAACAAAAAACTAAAACTGGTTGTGAAAAAGTATTTTTAAAATATATTTGTACTGAAATCAAAATAAAAACTTGACTTTAGTAAAAAACTAAACTAACTGTAACTTGTGTACTTACAAAAGTAACTAAAGTATACAGGAAATGTCTTTTAGTTTTTAGTCTTTGTCAATTTGGCCAAATCTGTTAAATTGGTGCATATGTTTATTGAGACTGGGATGTCTACATGAAGTGTGTTTGTATTATAATAGCTATTCTGAACTGCTTAAATCTTGGCCCTGACAAATACCCTTATATTATAATGATAAAAAAACTCAAACGAAACGTTTTTAAACAATTTAAACTGAAAACAGAAATGAATAATAAAACTAATGAAAGAGGCACAAACAGGGGCTAACTGCTAACATGCTGTTGCAATGTGTAACACATTATTAAACTGGACTTAATATCAAATATTTTCCACAGATGTGTTTGTTTACTTGTTGTCCTGTTGTTGCAGCTGAATGCTGATATCTATGAAACAGACCCAGAGCTGGAGCAGATCCGTAAAGACCAGGGCTACTCCTATATGGACATTGTCGCTGTGGAGAAGGACACACTACCTCACTATGAGGAAACGGTAATCTTAGTCACCTTGTTAGAGAGGACTGTTGAAACTGAACTACAGTGAACTGTTGTCACTGTGTTAGAAAAGTTTATGAGCTGTGGACAATTAGTTTAATGCTCTACAGTGGTTTATGACCTTTATGGCCATCATCTTCAGTCAGTGGTGAAGACAATGACACCATTAGGACAGCTACTACTTCAACTGTGTGTCATTTTATAATTAAATAAGAGAACCATCATTCAGGCCTCTTTGTCTTTCCGTCTGTCAGCTGAAGATGTTCTTTAAGGAGCACCTGCACTTGGACGACGAGATCCGCTACATCCTGGACGGCCGGGCCTACTTTGATGTCAGGGACAAGCAGGACCGGTGGATCCGCATCTCCATGAGCAAGGGGGACCTGATCACCCTGCCGGCCGGCATCTACCACCGCTTCACCCTGGATGAGACCGTACGTAGCTTACGTGCATGTGACTGATAGACAGCAAAGTTCCTTTAAAAAAAATACAAAGGGAGTAGGTAACATCTTTTTGTTTAAGTGTTGAACACTGACATTGTTAGCAAAGCTCAGTATGCTGGATTAGATGGGATGACATTTAAATGATGCCTGAGGAGAAATTGGGATGTCGCTGCAGAAAAGAATAATATTTGTACATGACTAGAGCAAATATTGAGAGCACAGCCTGACTGGTGTTTTCCTACAGCAGAATACAAACAAATGTGCAGATGTGCATCATCAAATAGTATGTCCACACCTGTGTAGAATAATTCTTGTTTACATATTAAAAGAATGCATAGAATACATACATTGTGCATTAATTACATTACTAAAGCTGCGGGATGTGTTTCTGTCAGCATTGTCATTACTGTTGCAGCTACAATCAGTTTACTTTGACATTTTGACCTAAACTCTATTGTTGTTCTTCAGGCAGTTTAAGTCTAATTAATATAATTACATTGAAAATATATTGTTTGCATAGTTTACAAGAAGGGCCAAAGAATTTGTCATAGACAGCGTTTTACAAAGTTTAGAAAGTTTCTCCTCACTAAACAACTCTAAGAATTGCACGTTTTACTAGTTCAATGGGGAAATCTGTTCTGCTGTTTGTCTTGGTAGGCTCAAACATGTCATTTGCATTACAGTGAGCCAATTGGAAATCAGTGTGCTTCGTGTGTAACGGACGTCAGTCGAGTAGGTGGTCCTTCAGTGTGGCCCAGGGCACGTTGCACACACTGCTAAAAGAATGTGGTCTGAGGGATCGGATCTCAATGCGTCTTGAGTGCATTCTCACCAGTACTTGACAGACACAAGACACATGTTAATACCAGGTCCAAACAGGGTTCCTCTCCTCACTCAGCAGCAGCTGATTCATTAGCTACCAGCTGGATAAATGAATTGGTTTCTGTAAGGAAAGCTAACAATTGCTGTGCAGTACCAAATGATGAATTATTGCACGAGGGAGGCAGAGCTGATACTCCTACTGATCTGAGCACTGTTGTTTGTGTCTATAGAACTACACGAAAGCCATGAGGCTGTTTGTGGGGGAGCCTGTGTGGAAAGCATACAACCGGCCCGCTGATGACTTTGAAATCCGCCAGAAGTATTTGGCTTCTCTGCAGGAATCCTGAGAGCGAGCTGCAACACACAACTCCAGTTACAAAGTTGATTCCATATGACCACTGTTTATACTCAAATTAGGGCTTCTAATGTGATTAGGTTTACAGTGACAATGTGAAGAAATGTATGATTAAAGATCTCTTGTAGCAGAGCAGTCAGGTTCTGCACCAAGATGCTTTTTAGCTGTGAAGGAGACGATGTAGCCCACATGTACACAATCTCAGTGGTAATGGAAATGCTGTACCTTTCACTACATTTGACAGCTATACAGCAAACACTACAACAGGAATAATGCTATAATAATAATAATAATAATACTTTTAGAACATTTTAAAGGAGCCTTTTGCTTTCCATACCTGAAAATAATTCATAGGTACATTTACTTATCAAAATTGTGAATGCAGGACTTCTACTTATAATGAAGAATCATTTAAGTTTTGGGTCTGAATACTTTGCCACAGGACAATCTGTAGTGCCTTATTCTTTTTAATTTGTTGTTAGGTTCTATCAGACTTGCCCTCAACAGCATGTTTTAAAAATGAGTCATGCAACCATGAAGTGGTTTCTTCTAATTTCATATTCAAATCTCTCTGAATCAGATGTGAAATGTTACTCAACCAGCCAGACTGACAGATTCACATATAGTTTTTTGTTCAATGAAAAATAAAGCTGCTATTTTATGTGTGTTTTGTGTCTTTCCATTAAATCACACACATTGATTTAAAAGAAGTTTTATTTGGGATAAAACAATTTCTTTTTTAATAAACATAAATATGATCAACACAATATGTAAACAGTGATAATTAAAGATCCACCAGGACAAATCACTAAAAGATTTACCAAGATAATGATTTTTGATATAATCATTTAAACAAAGAAATCAACAAATCAGCTTCTCTGATATGTACAATTTTGGATTCCTAATATTTTACATTTTTGTTTAGTGGACAGGATGCGACCCCACCTGAAGGGCTTTTTTATTTCCACTGCATGAGTTATAAACCTGGCAGCTGAAATGGAGTGGTCTTTGTTAATCCAGTATTACTGGTGTCTGCTGAGGAAGAAGCTTTGGACCTCTGTGCTAGTTTATTAGTCTTTAAGCACACTGAATCTTAGGATAATGCCCGTGTCAAGTCTCGCATGACGAGCCTGTGACTCCCTTAAAACCACTACCTGGGTTCTGAGCTCTCTCCTCCAGTCTCTCTGTGCTTAATTTGATGATTCATCTCTAGGATTTCTTTCCTAAAAATAAACGTTAGATGAATAGTTTGACATTTTTGTGAAATACTCTTATTTGCTTAGATTATTTAGATGAAAAAATCAATACCACTCATGTCTGCGCACTAATCATGAAGCTTGAGCTAGCAGCTGGTTAACTTAAAGCCCCTATAAGGAACTTTGACTTTGTGTTGATTGTGGCGGCCCCTCTGGACAAAAACTGTAGTGTTTCTACCGCCTCGTTTCATTGATTTCAAAGGGAATCTCACTGGCTACTTCTATGAGTTATTCTTAATGCTTCCCACCGGATTTGATTCAATCTTCTCACTGGGTCATATAGAGGCATCAGTATTCAGTTGAGACTGTTTCATAACCAGTTAAAAACTACTTGTATGTTTAACTTAGCGCAAAGACTGGAAGCAGGGGGAAACTGCTAAACGCATAATACAGCTGTCCCATAAAAAAATAACATGCCACCTTTTTAAAACAACCTGCTGCACTTTATTTTTGACAAAGCAGTTTCTAAAACTGCTTCAAATATAGCTGATGCAAAATACAAAAAAAGATTATGAGAGAAGCAAACTAAAAACCGGTAACAAGACAACCTCTCTACAAAACATATATCCTTCATGAATATTAATGCTGTAGCTTTCAGCTGATCAGATTTTGAGGACTTTTTTGTATTACAATTGCATTATCACAAATGTCCCCCTCTGTCTTTCATATATATGTCACATCCAGTGAAGGCTTTCATTAGTTCTGTTCACAATGTCTCGCTGAAGAATATATCACTTAACGAAGAGTGTGCGTAAAAACTGTAATAACTGAAATGTATCCACTGTAACATAAAATAATAAAACACCATCGTAAACCCACAGCCAGCGTGGCCTATAAGACAACATAGTAATAACAGCTCACGGTTGGCAGTAAACATGCTAGCAGGTTAGCTCGCAACTGGTAGTGCTAGTGATGTACCCCTCTCGGTCATGTGACCCTCGCCATGAGGTCCCTGAGACTAGATTAATGTTTTTTTAACCTTTGGACAGAGCTGGACTTTATGCTAAGCTAACTGCCTGCTAGCTGTAGCCTAATATTTACGGTACAGACATGAGAGTGGTATCAATCCTCTCATCTGACTCGCAACAAGAAAGCAAATAAGAGAATTTCCAAAAACGTTAAACTACTTTTAATCAACTCATGCACACACAGGACTTCTGCAGGCCCATTTCCTTTCCAGAATCCAACAGTGTGTGTAAGGAAATGTGTAAATCATTACAGGGTCACTCTTCAGAAGGACACAAACGGAAAGGTGTATCTGGGCTCGCCTTCCCACATCTGTTTTGTAAGAATAAAACTTGATTTTGGGAAACCAAGCCAAGCACTAAACGTTCACTTTTCTGTCACCACAATCTCTGAGCGTTCTCTACAGATTCTACTTTTGGGGTTTTTACTTCCTGTCACACTGGAGGAGAATTAGTGTGTGTGTCCTCTCCCAGTTCACCCTCTTGCCCCTTAAACCAATTTGAGGCACTGTGCGTTGAAGCTGTCCCCCTCCCGGCAGGCCACGGCCTCCAGCAGAGCCTGCTTCTTCTGGGTGCTGCGAGACGACTCCAGCTCATACATAGTGGTCAGGTTGAAGAGAACGCTCTCGTGGAGGTAGAGTGCGGGGTCCTGCTGCACCAGGCCCTCCAGCTGGCCCAGGGACTCCTTCAGACGGCCTAGATACAGCAGGCACACCGCTGCATTGTTGTTGGCCTGGGAATGTGCAGCGGGATGGAAAGGGTGATGTTCATCAAAAAACTGTTGCAGTACGTAACTCTGTAAAACTACAAATTGTTGTTTTAACAGTTCTGTTTGTGTACCTATTAAACAAACAAAATACACTGTGTTTGCTAGTGAGCTTTGGTACAGTAGGTATGTCTTTTCACTTTGGTCAGAGCCAGGCTTGTTGTTAACCCCTGCTTTAAAGAGGCAAATAAGCCCAGTTCCAAAACTGTTGAGCTGTTCCTTTAAGGAGCAGCGATGACATTTAAAGATGTTTGGATAATGTGTTAACCCTGTCTCCTAATCCTAATCCCAATCTTAGAGTTTATCTACATGTTGATAATCAAATAAACACTATGAGAGACCCACTAATAGTTTTTGATGAGATGACACATTCTTCCCTACAAAGCCAAAACATTCAGTAACAAACCTGGTCAAAATGTATCTTTTGTTAAAACCAGAATCTACCTTTTTTTCCTTAGCAGAAATATTATTCTATAGAAATGTGTAATTCAAAATGTTTTAATTTTGATGTAACAACAAAACAAAAGTCACAGCCTTAGCTAAAGCTAATTTACTGATATTTTACAATTTACATATCAGTTAAACGTTTTAGTAAGTGGCCTTAAAACTTCAAACCCTCTTTTCTTAACTTCACTGGTTCTGTAGTTACTGCTGTGTGGCTTTGTAAGGCAGCATTATAAAGCTCTTGTAGAGTAAAAGGCGTGTTCACTACAGTGGATGTGGTAGCACTTACAACTGGATTTTTTGGGTCGATTTTCAAGACTTCAATGAAGGATGCGTGTGCTTCACCGTAGTTGTTCTGACTGAGGTAGACAAAGGCCCTGAAAAACACACACACACACACACACACACACACACACACACACACACACACACAGACACAGAGAAGAATTTGGGTTATAGTCATGCCCATCCCGTGCTATATTCAGGTCAATCCGAAAGCTGTGGAAGACATACATTACATGGCCAAAAGTATTCAGACAACAGTGAGCATGTCCTTTCCAAACCACCACTCTTCTGGTTCCAGGTTTTCCACCAGATTTTGAAACCTGGCTTGAGCGATTTGCACCCAGTCGGGCACAAGAGCATTAGTGAGGTCCAGCACTGATGTTGGGTGATAACACCTGGCTCAGAGTCTGCTTTCCAGTTCACCCAAAGCTGTTGGGTGAGACTGAGAAATGAGAACACATGCGAAAGCCACACCAAACTGAGAAGATCTTTAAAGCTAACTTTATGGAGCTGGCCTTGTGCATGGGGGCACTGTCATATTTAAACAAGAAAGGGACAAAAACTACTGACACAAAGTTGGAAGCACACTATTGTCTCATATATTACTGTATGCTGTAGCAGTAGGAGTTCCCTTAATTGGACAAGGGGCCAAGACCAAACTGTGAAAAATAGTCCTAGACCAAAGTAGATGGTGTGACCGAAACATGGCTGATAATCTGGACATACGTAAAATCACTGGAATAGAAGGGACAATAAAGCTCTTTAAGATGAACAGCAGAGAGACTGACACACTGTGGAGCTGTTCCACAGACAGGAGGCAGCAGGCGAGGCTGGGGAAAATCACATCCAGCGCTCGAAATTAAGGAAGTCCTGTTGTTCCAGGCACAATAAAGATAGCACTGGGACAGTAGAGAAATATATCATTACAAGTGAAATTATTACATTTATGCGTTATGGAATATATATCATTTTAAGGTGTTTCAAATTCAAAAACATATTCACAAAATCAATCATAGAGAGAGACAGTGTTGCCCACTTTCTCGGTAGATTTAGCAACTTTTCAGACCCTCTTATCAACTTTATTTCTAAAAAGTTTACTCTTCTTATTCAGACCCTCAGGGAAATGGTGAGAAATATATTCATATATATTATATTGTAATTTGTTCCCATGCATTCTGCACGGCTCTTATGCCACCAGCGCTGGGGTCTCTCTTCCTCTCCTCTTGTGCCGTGCACAGGCAGTCAGTAGGTGTGGAGTGTAGGGTATGTTTAAGCTTCTTTCACTCTAATCTCTTCGGATTAGGGAGTATCTATAGTTTGTAAATATTTAATTTGCTTGTTTGACCTTCTCTCACTCTCTCTTTCAGGATCTCTGGATTCAGGTGAGCTTAAATCTTATATTTAAATAGTTTGTTTGATCTTCTCCCTCCCTTTGTAGATTTAAAAAGAGAACTTGTTTATTATAAATACATGAGGTCCCTGTAGTGAACTGTGTTAATTTGGATAAATAACATTAATGTTCAAACTAACCAATGATTAAATTTAATGAAGATATAAGTGCAGGGAAGAACTAGCAGAACTTCCATGGTCACCTGAGTGAATCAATGAATTGATGAATTGAGTTATTTATTATATTAACTATATTATAGTGATGCATGATAATTATTGGGACAGATACATTATTGGCCAATCATTTTAATTAAATAAAATAAATTATCCTGATAATTAAATTAGAGCTGATAAATGATTGGTCTATAATAATAGTAATTTATTTTGAATTATTGCGCAAAACTATTGATAGGCTTTATGCTGGCAAGTTTTAAATAAAACAATGTAAAAGAGTCTAAAAACAACAACAGAATGTTACAAGAACAATATAAATCACCTGCTTTTGTGAAGTGAGCAGTGTGAGTGAGGCAGGGTGTATCCTGAGCTTTGCCTCATGCTCTACATCTCCTCAGGCCAGAGCTACACAGGTGTGACCTCCTGTGCTAAATCACACGCCAGGTGGAAGCATGAACCTGCAAAAAGCCCTGAAGGAAGCTCCGCTACCATGGAGCGGAAACGATCCCGAGCAGCATTAAGTACACACTCGCTGTACGGAGGTGCTAAATGCACAATGCGCACGTACCTGTTCATCAGCACGCATGTGGTGTGACTGGGCTGGCTTCCTTTCATCTGGCAGGCTTTCTCCACATCCTGGAAGTACCTCTCTGCCGTTTTAATGTCTCCGATCTGGCCAAGAACAAAACAGCGGCAACACATTAACCACTGATCTGTGTGTGTGTATTGTAAAATGGGGCAAGCACAATTAAATTAGATCAGATTTCACGATCTCCCCCAGGCAAAACTGACTCATTGCATCAGCAAAGAATACATACAGGAACATTACGAGAGAGAGAAGAGAGAGAATAATGAGGACAAAACAAATATATCTCTGATGATAGTGCAACACAATGGAGTTGTGGAGTGGGAGGAGCATCCAGGTTTCCAGAAGTAAAAGTCCTCTTCATTTTCTGTATAGACAATATTCAGTGACTGGCTGTTTTTCTGATACGCATGTGTGAATCACAGCTGGATTAGTGAATGAGCCTGCAGGGTACAGGCCCAGTGTTCTCAACATTCCTACCAACATGTCTAATTGGAAGTCGAAAGTACTGATGTCTCAATCCTGATTCCAGTCTGAGTCTTTTAAAGGAGTAGTTCAACATTTTCTGATCTTTTTTTTCAAGTTTAAATGAAAAAGATGGATATGAATCTCATGTGGATTAAGAACAGAGCTGGAGTCAGGACGTGGTTAGCCTAGCTTAGCATAACGACTAAAAGTATGTGGGGAATAGCTGGCCTTTAGGGGGAGTTATGTGCTGTGACTATTTCTTTACAAACAACAGCTAGATGCAGTGCCTTCCCATAGTCTTAGCACGTGGGGTTGCCAGGCAACCTGTGCTGTGGAGGGGGATGCTGCACAGAAGTCGTGGCTGGGTAGACAAACTGTTGTTTGGAATGCATAACTTACATTTCTTTTTATGTACAGATGAAACAAACAAGATACAATGTGTTAATTAGTGAGCTTTAGAGGAGCTGCTAGATGTATTTTTGAACGAGCTCTGCTTCCATTGTTTATGTCAGGGGTTCTCAAACTTGGTACTCATTATTGGAGGTCAGGGGTCCGGAACGACTGGTGATAACAAAATAACATTTAATCACATACATTTACAACAAACTACATTAACAATAGCTGTAGAAATTGTGTACTAGAGAAAATGAGATTCATCCTGTATCTGCGATTAAGGAGCCGATAGCAAATTCTCTAGCAGTCGCCATGACAACAATGTCAACGATAGGGAAATAAGTCACATTAACATTCATTTGGGAACAGGATCGCTGTGAATTAAGGCTGGATCTGAATATTCAACGATTCGGATATTTGTTCGTTGGGTTTCCAATCACATCATTGAGTCCACATCAACTCTTATATGATGACGATGTGACGATATTCAATATCATAAATTGTCAGAGATTTTGCCATACTGTTTTTACTGTAGTATCTAACCCTTTAAAATATCTGTTAGTATTAGACCATTGTAGGCAAAGTTGCAAACCATTGAGCAGGACTGTTTGATGGCAATACTGGGATTTTAAACGATTTCGGCATCAATTTGATGAAGTACCTTGATATGTCAGGTATTTGATTTGCTGGATTAGCCAAAAGCAGAAACTGTCTGGTTACTGGGGGATGGGTGGGGGAGGCTCAGTTTGTGCCTCGGGAATCAGTGACTCTTTATAATCTATGTGCGTGCGTGTGCGTGCCTGCGTGTGTGTGTGTGTGTGTGTGTGTGTGTGTGTGTGTGTGTGTGTGTGTGTGTGTGTTAATGTGCGGACCTGCAAGAAGATGCGCCCTATGCCGCTGAGCAGCTGCACTCTCTGCTGGGGTTCATACTGGATGATGGAGTGATAGGTCTCCACAGCCAGAATGTAGTCCTGAGAAAGAGAGAGAAACAGAGAGAGATATTAATGTGAAAAAGAGGTAAAGAAAAACACGAAAGTGAAGAATGGAAGGCAATAGAAATAAAGGCAGAAGTTAGAAGCGAGTAAGGTAAAATGAGGTAAACAGTCGGAGGTAGAGACAGGTGGAGGGTGAGCGAGGTAAAGAAGAGCAGAATTGAGGAGTGGAGAGAGAGAGGGCATTAATCAAACATATGGAGTATTAGCGGGGCGATGTGACCCTCCTCCCACCTCCACACTGCACATCGCTCACAGGGTGACTGGACTGCTGAGCGGGGCGACCGAGAGAGGTCAGCGAGGCGCGCGTGTGTGTGTGCGTGCGTACTGGGCTGGGACAAGGTATAGAGAGTGTTGCACTGTTCATGTGTATTACAGTACAGTATTTTTTTTGTGGTTCAGTTTTTTTACTTAACGATTGGTCTGGTTCAGAGTTTTAAAAAAAACTCTTTCTACAGCATGCAAAACAAAACAATAAACGGTGTATCTTCTTCCTCTGTCCTAGAGTCCATTGTTGTCCAAAAACTATTAAAAAAACATCAGTTAGCCACACTGTTGCACTGGTTCCTTCATTACTATGAATACACACTAGTTTATTTTGACTCAGTTCCACACACATTGTACTGGAGCACCAAATAGTCACTGGAGCACCAAATGTGAATAAATCTGCTGCTGCTAAAACTATTTTCTTTTAGAGATTTCAGTGTGAACTTGGGGCTGAGATCCACAGACAAGCAAGGAGTGAGAAGGTAGTTACAGATGAGCTAACATGATGGTTTCTGTCTGTTTCACACTGTTTAAAAGGGTTTACTGACAATAAAAAAAAAAAATCCTTAAGATATTATTATTGAACATTTTTCAATGCAGTAGCAGTAGTCTTTGTCTCCCTATTAGTTTCCATTAGTTTCCACACAGTGTAAAAATAAATTAGCAGTGTTCCATCACACTGAACATCACGTGTACCTTATTGTTTTTCTAGTTCCCTGTTTACACTGTTTAACCACATAAGGATATGATAAGTGTACACAGCGTTTCCTCATATAGATAATAATACTATAAATATAACATTCACTGTGATGGACTACAGCAAGTTTTCAGCCGCCTAACTTGTCAACCATACGGTAATGAGCAGAACTAGTGGCTACATGAAAGGTATTGAGAAAATAAATACAATTTTGAAACATTCAAGCTTAAGGTTTGCTTAAGAGTCAGCAGTAATGTGAAGTATTTATAATTTTTAGAACATATAGAATCACTGCTGTGGTTTGGCATATTGAAATTGAGCCAAAGAAATGGAAAAATACTGTAATCTCAATTCTCGGCAGTAGAGGGCACTGTGGTTCTCTCTAGAGTCTGATCTGAGCTACACCTTCAACCTCTCTCTCTCATTCGCGCGCGCTCTCTCTCTCTCTCGTTCTCTCTCTCACTGACCAAGAATCCAATTAGTGGTCAGTCTGGGGGGATTTCACTGTGAATCCTCCACCAGCCTGGCATCAGAGATCTCTGAGTCACACACACACACACACACACACACACACACACACACACACACACACACACACACACAACACACACACACACAAAAACACACACACACACACACACACACACACACACACACACACACACACACACACACACACACACACACACACACACACACACACACGCACACTCAAACACACACACACACACACACACACACACACATCCAGGCAGACTCCGACATGCATACAGGGACACATTCACTCCAACACACGTGACACACAAACCTAAGCTGACAAACACACACACACATACCTTCATCAGCAGCAAACAGTTGGCCATAGAGTACATGACCCGGCTGAGGCGAGACCTCCAAAGCTTAAGAGACACTAAAAACAGGGAGAAAAGAAGACAGACATGGGGTTTATTTCTTAAAGGGTTGCTTTCTATTTTCATTCCACCTGCTTTTTTTGGGCGTCCCTCTAACGTCACCCTTTTCCCCCACTCTTCCACCCCACTTACAGACACACACACCGAGGTTTATTTTAAGATGATGAGGTGGTGAGGAAGACACTGCGGCACACTCCGCTTTCCTCTTTTCCCTCAGACAGTGCGCCCTGTGGAAGAGCTTGTGTGCAGGCCTATTAGTATTCATCGCTGCACACGAGTGTGTCTATGCGTGTGTGTTGGGGAGAAGAGCTAATCACTCAGCAGGGGTCTGATGTGTGAAGGCAAGGCCCTGTGTTATTGACTTGACTGTCGACTGTCTGCGTGGGCAGAGAGAGGAGAGACAGAGGGCACGGCTATTACGCTGCTTTTTAGAAAGGGGAGAAACCGGCAGAGCTGCTGCACCCTCACACATACATTCTCATGCACGCGTCACCCTGCCAGTTCTCCCAATTATAAGCAAGTGTCTTGCTACATTTAGCTCAACTTCACCAAGTGGCTTGTTGTTGTTCATCGCCCTGAATTTGCTGATTAAATGGCTTGTAGTTGCTTTTAAAAAAACCAAAAAAACAAAGAACCTGACACAAAGCCTTTGGAAAAGTTGCTAAATTAGGAGTCACAGGACTTGTGAACATAAACTCAAACTCAAAGAATGCTGTGTTAAAATATATTTTGTGTGAGAAAGGCTGTGAGAAGAGAAGAAGTCTATTTACATCGGGTTGTGTGGAGGTGTGTCTACCTAAAACTGGTGAATTTCAGATGAAGGTGCCTGCCTATTTCCCCAGCACACTTGTGCAGATGTGAGTGGATTGGATAGGATTGATCTGTATTGATCTGCTTGGCGTGAAGGGCTGAAAAGACCATTTGATATTCATCGCGAGTATCGAAGCAGTGAGGTGCTAAACACTTTTAGAGCACCGCATTGGTGTGTTTGTGTGGTTGTGAGTGTGTGTATGTGTGGCTGAGGTATGCTGCAGTCCTGCACCAGGTGTGCCTCTGCCTCAGTGGCTCTGTGTGTGTGTGTGTGTGTGTGTGTGTGTGTAATACCCACTGGGGCCCATGACCTCACTCTCCTCCCACAGTGTGATGCAGTCTGGGAATGGGGCCAGGTCTGTAGCCAAATGCCAGTGTGTGTGTGTGTGTGTGTGTGTGTGTGTGTGTGTGCGCGCTTACCTTGCCTGTTCTCCTGTGTTAGGGTGATCATGCTGCCATCCTCAGCCAAGCCTTTCTCCAAGTTCTCCAGAATCTGTTAAAGGGGGGGAGGATTCAAACTTCAGAGGGAGAAGTTGCTTCACTGCCAGTGCTGAAGGCTTTTTATGTGTGTGTATTAGAATCTGCATATTCACTCTAAAATCCATCCATATTTGGATGTTTACACAGGTGGGCTTAAGGATTTGTATGGCTAATGTGCTTTTCTGTGGGTGTGTAGTTTTATTGTGTGAATACTACAGAGTACACATATCTTTATGTTCATCCAGAGGCTGTGTTGGTGTGTATGTGTGTGTGTGTGTGTGTGTGTGTGTGTGTGTGTGTGTGTGTGTGTGTGTGTGTGTACTAACAGCGAGGCAGACGGTTTTGAGATTGTGCAGGCGGTCCAGAGCCTCCTGGGGCTTGGCCAGGTACTGGGGAAGCTCGGCATGCAGAAGTCGCATGGAGAACGGCACCATGGAGCCTGGACGGGAGGGAAGGGGAGGGAGGGATTGAGGGAGGGAGGACAAGAAGAAAACAAGAGACGGAGGGAGAAAGGGGGAAAATAAGGGGAAGGGAAAAATAAGAAACAGGGTGGGATGAGGACATTGCAAGGGAGAGGGAGAGAGAGAGAGAGAGAGAGAGAGAGAGAGAGAGGAGAGAGAGGGAGAGAGAGAGAGAGAGAGAGAGAGAGAGAGAGAGAGGATGCGAGATGAGAATATAAACCCATCCACCCACACACAGACTGCACACAGCCCTGAAGGCAGGAACCTACAGATGGCATTGAGCTACGTATGGCTGCTTATTAAACCCTCTCATCTCTCTCTCTCTCTCTCTCTCTGTGTGTGTGCTGCACAGCTCCATCACTCATCTTTCTGCCTCATCCCTCTGTCTCTCTCTGCCTCTACATCATTCACACTGTCCACACACACACACACACACACACACACACACACACACACACACACACACACACACACACACACACACACACACACACACACACACACACACACACACACACACACATCCCTGAGGAAGAGCCTATATTCAGGTGAGTCCCCGGGCTTTGATCAGGGTCTCTTTGATATTGTCATCAGATCTGAAGCTCAGCTAGCTGGTCCATCTCTGGCTGCCGATTCTGCCAGTCTATGTATCTCTATTTCTATCTCTCTTGTCTATCTGCTTGTGCTTTCTCTATCTAACCCATCTACAGTACAGAATACACACTCATTTTCCCCTATTTACCTATGTGTCACTGTTACTGCCCTCTGTTGTTCTATTTTCATGCCAACTGGACAGTGCTTTCTCTCGGCTTGATTCTTTATTCTCTCTCCTGGACTTTTAATACCTTTACAGTTTCTGTAAAATGGTTGTTTACCTTCTCATTTACAAACACTTCACCTTGACAGACTTTGAGGGTGACATTATGGTTCAAAATCAATTGATTTAAATTGAATAATAATTCAAATTAGCCCCACCTTTACCAACTGCAACATTATAGTGATACTGTATGTATACTAATGCATCAATAATTGCAATCCCATAATATGATATATATGATTCTGAAATGGGCCATTCTGCATTATGAGTACTTTTAATTATGGTACTTTGTTAAGTAAAAGTTTTTACTATTATCAAAATATACTATAGTATTAATACACTGTGGTATAGCTACTTTTACTAAATTCGTTTTTAACTGGTCTTAAAACAGTCTCAGTTTAATAGTTATGCCTCTGTATGACCTACACAAGCAAACAAGGCTATTTCTATATAGTTATTCTTAATGTCTGTCCCCGAGTCGGATTCGGAAATCAGTGAAACAAGGCAGAAAAAACACTACTGCTTCCACAGGGGCGACCAGAATCAACACAAAATCAAAGTTTCCATTAAATCGAGCTCTTAATAAAGGAATGAATGCGTCTATTGTTTTAAATGCTCTCTAAACTCAGAAAAAAAAAGAAAAACAGAAAAAAATTAATTATTCAGAAAATCAGAAAAAAATTACTCCGAAAAACCAACCATAAAAATAAATTACTCTGAAAAACAGAAAAAAAATGACTCAGGGAAACAGAAATAATTACTCAGAAAAATTAAATACGCTTCTGTAGATTCCAAATTTAAATAGGAATGATCATTTTTGCATCACAATTTTCATTTTTACTGAAAAGATTAAATAAAAATCATGATGACATGAAATTTGTTGGGGTCTGTATCAAACAAACATGTTTTCTTAAATCTGGAGATCAAGATCTCAAGCATCTCTATAGCACTATAGTACTTATTAGGTGATTATTAGGCTGTTTGTCACAAATTTACTTATTCTACCACTTGTGACTGGCTAGACAAAGAATATCCCTGCTAATAGTTACAAGCAGGACCACCAGATTCGAATACATTTACTTTGTATTTTAAGATGTGACATTTTCAGAACAAAAAATAAGGCAAAATAAAAGAGATTTAGTATTGTCCAACAGTATTACATATCTCACAGTGTAGAGAAGGCTTTAAATTTAGAGCATTATGTGGTCAGTTAAACAGTTAAACTAATGAAAACAATTGAAGTGTTCTTGTAAAACATTTCTAAAATCCTGGCTCGATGTCACATATCTTCTAGTCCCACTTATTCTGCAAAGATGTGCGGAAGAATTTGCTGTGTCACTTTCTGCTATTTTGTTGAACAGCAGTTGGTGGCAGGTGGATGCCACAAAAAACAGCAATATACCAGCAAAGGGCTGGGAAGAAGAGGACTGCTAGCATGCAAAAGTAAATGTAACAATGCAGGTTCCAAAATGTTCAGAAAAATTGTCTTTGCATATGACTATATTATTTTGGTGAAACACTGAATGTAAACAGAACTGTGTGTGCTTACAAGAAAACTCCACAGAGCACCATTAAAATAGCGTGCAAGACTATCTTGGACATTTAGATTCTGTTTCAGACATTTACACACTCTCAGGACCTAAGACTTGCACTACCTTTCTGCCTCAGCATTTTATACATTTCCCCAGTCTAGTCTGCATGTCCATCTTTTTGTTGGGCTGACATTAAACCAGTTGACTTTGATTGTGAGTGGATTTTTTTGAGCATGAGTGCAAAGGCCAATACTCTTTCATCCAGCTGCTGAAAAAAAAAAAAAAATCATGGATCTCTTTTCAAAGATGCAGGGAGGGTTAGCATTTGACCACAAGTTGATTTTATTCATTGTGAGAAGGTTGATGCATCTCTGTCTTGCTTTATTGATTAAAACATGAAAAGAATCAAGACTGAAAGTAAAGCATGAAGATTTAAAAAGGACAAGAATGAATGCTGCTCGTCAGGCATGTGGCATTCAGGTCTTAATACTTCTGAGTCCAAATTGGACCCAACTTTTCATTTGGCAAACAAATTAATAACTGACAAAAATTGATTCCTTCTCGAGCGCTTAGTCGATCCTAATTCTTCGAAGAGTGATACATGGGCAGCCGTCTCTTAAGGCATTCAAAGAGTGCGGTCGTGGGTAATAGATAGTCGATGCAAGCGTTGGGCTGGAGAAATGTTCAACTTCTGATACCAGGCTACACAACTCGTGCCAGTTTGTCTGCGAGCACCTAGCAGGGCACAAAGCGTTTAAATTGAGCAATGGAAAGTCAATCGGTGCTCTCTTTAGAAGGCTGTGCGGTGTAGCTTCAAGTGTGCTTTGAGTGTGTTTGGGGTGTGTGTGTGTGTGTGTGTGTGTGTGTGTGTGTGTGTGTGTGTGTGCATGCAGCTGTGTCTCTGCTACAGCCTTCACTGTGGTAGCCCGAGGGGCGAAGCAGATCCAAAGTAATGGGAATACATTAGAGAGCAATTCATGCGGTGTAAGAAGAGGAAAAACAAAACCAAAGAACTGCTGGAGACAAGTAGAGTTGTTGGAGCTTCTCGACGATACCGTCTAATATCAAGCTCCTGGCAGAAACTTTCCTTTGAATATTTAATAGGACAGTGGTGGTATGCTTGTGTATCCTAAAAAACGTGGGTAAAATGCAAAAACCCTTTTGGAGAGCTGGCTAATAACACATTCAAAACTCGCAGATAAGAGTTTCAGAGCTGCTTTTCAGCATGATCATGAATACCACTATTCAACCTTCAGTCGGCTTTCAGACAGAATTTATAGAGGAGCTTTTGGACACATGAAATATGAAGTGACGCATGATTTTACAATGCAATTTCTGCATGGAATCTTCTGTGATCACTACCAAAAGTGCTTCTCCCACACAAAAGGTCAATAATATTGACCCCAAGGGACAGAGGATGGTAAGGTTTATACAAGCTAAGTGTGTATGTGTGTACCTCTTCTCCCAGGGTAAACAGTGGGGTAGTACTCATAGCAGAGGTCTGGTTGATCCAGGTTGCCAAAGGGCTCCAACTCCAGCTCAGCGTTTTGGAAGAGGTTGAGTTTGGTCAGGAGGGCCAGCCGCACAAACCAGAGCTGGAAAACACACACACACACACACACACACACACACACACACACACACACACACACACACACACACACACACACACACACACACACACACACACACACACACACACACACACACGTTCAGTTAATTTGGTCAAAAAACAATTGCGTAACACCTTGCTCTAGAATGTAACAAAAACGCACTGTACAGCCATACTTAACATAATACATGATTGCATCATTAGGTTTTGTACTGATGCAGTATTTATTAAGTAATCTGTAGTTATTATATTATTCAAGAATGACATAATGGGTTGTAGTTCTGATGTAATGTTGTCCTAGAGCCCAACCAACTGATGGGTAATTGGATTTTTTGATATGGATAATAAAGATTAAAAAATCTGCCAAGATGCAAGGTGCTGGCATAGTATAGTACAGTATAACTGAAAAAAAAAAAAAAAAAGTCAAACATAATAATACATTTTAATTTTAGTGTGTATATACTGTGTAGAGAGTCTTCACATCTGGAGGGCACAGGCGGTTCCAGGACCATGTTGTGTAAATTCTCATGAGCTTTTGACAGCACACAACACACCATATGCACTTGGACCGAGGCCCAGGCACATGCAGCTATATCCTGACAGAGTTGGGGATGGACTACCTCCCAGTGAGAGAACAACATGGAAGGATGGAGCAGCTCCTGAGCAGCATGGGCGCCCCCAAAGATACTGTTCTCTTGACCTCTGTCTTCACGTTTTAACACCAAAACACTGCCTCCTCAGTAGCGCAGACTCTCAGGTGCTAGCGGTGATGACACAGCCCGGCTTGTTTTGTAGTTTGTAGCGCGGTGTTAGTTGTTAACTTCTTCTAGAGAGTGCCGCAGGTATGATGTATTCTTGGAGGCTAACAAGGAAGTTAGCATCGCCCTGGTTCCATCGGTTATCGCAGAAAATAAACTCTGGCAAACAACGGGTTATGATACTCACACGTTTTGTTCGGCAAGATGAAGAAGAAATTTGAGTTGATTATGATTTTTGAAGCATGAATGCAAGTGGCACAAGTGAAAAAACTAACGTTAGGCTATAAACAAACTACACAACAGGTGCATGACTTCAACGTCACCACCACTAATCTGAGTGTGTTCGGCGTGCTGACGGTTAATGTCACAGACAACCTCAGTCGTCTCATTTAGCCAGTTGTTAGCAGCTGCCTTTTAAGACACATAAAAGCTTCAAAATTCCCGGGTGGAGTATTTATTGATGCATTTTATGTTGTAGCAGAAAATGTTAAAATCTCTTCAGCTTGTATAACCACCTCAACATCCACGGCATCATCATGGAAATTGTACAGCTAAATTAAAACAATTTTGATAAATTAAACCCTTGTGATGAATTGCTTGACTGCTTTGAAGGTAGAAAGAAACAATGTGTCTAAGGTTGCTGTCCCTGCCAACTGCTGTGTCCTATTGAAAATGACAAAAAACTAAAAAATACATACACATATATTACATGTTTATATTTATGTAACTTTTTATAGTACTCTAGTAGTAGTCTGTGAAAGCATGGTGCTAAAGTCCTGTTGGCAGAACAGAGAATGGTCAAAAGGTTAACAGAGTTGCCTAAAAGTCATCATCTTGTTATGATGCATATTGCTTTGGGTTGAGGTGATACCATTAACCTTAAAGCTACAGTTTGGGTTAGCCAATTAAGGGAAATTAAGTTACTAATTAAACGACTAAACACAAAAAAACACACCTAAAAAAAGGACCACGCATTTAAAACCTGCTTTCAAAAATAAGTCAGGTTGTTTAGGGGAGTAAAACAAACAGTAATATGTAGCACGAGGCAACAGCATGGTCGATTAATTTAAAGTCTTATGCACAGAGCCTAACACAGGGGTGGCCTTCTTAATGAGCTTATGCAGCCATCCATCTTCTGGATAGAGCCCCGCAAACACAGGCATGAGAATGTGCCAGCAGCAACACTGACAAAATGTAAAAAAAGACAAAACAATATTTGGGTCCTTTCTTGCATATGTCTGTGTTAGCTGTCATTTCCAACATACTGTGCAGTTGTACTATAGGAAAAGAAAGATTCTGCCCCATTCAAGTGAAACTCAAAAATAATTATATTATCCATTTGGGAGCAAGAAACCCCCAAAAAACAAAAAATGTAATGAACTGTGACTTTCATTTTCAAGTGCTGTTTGGGAATTATAACATTAATCTGTAGAACAAGACACATATTGGCTTGACTCTCTAACACCCACAAACACACAGAGAGACAGACAGATGAATGGGTGGATGAAGAGGAAGTCACTGGCGTATCACCTGCAGTGAGTCGGTGGTGTGGGAGGTTGGCTGGCCAGCCTTTCCATATCCCTGACCATGAGCTGTCAGCAGCCGGCCCGTCAGATCCACCGCAGCCCGCCAGTTCTTACTGCTCTGCAGGGGAGAGAAGACACAAACACACTGGATCTGAAACACACACCACGACTGACTGATGGAAGAGGGCACATGATGCCTGTCTCCAGTGTTCTCACACAGGGACGAAGGTTTACAGGATAATTCCGGTTTATTACAACCTGGGTCTTATTGTTATAGTTTTTTTTTTGTTTTGTTTTTTACAGTTTTCAGTTATGAGATAACAACAAGGCCCAACAGGGGACAAATCAGTCAACAACCAGAGCTTGGCAGTTCATTCTTGACCTGGGAAACATTCGGCCGTATCACACAGTCCTCAGCAGCAGATTGTAAAACAGCTGTGAGACTGTCAGTGATGATGCAAAATGATGATTCACAAGTGTCTGAAATCTCAATTTACTGCTCACTGTAGAGTAAACTACTGAGTGTATGTTGCTCTGTATAGGAAGCAGTGAATGAGTGATTGGGGGAGTAATAATGCCATGCTCAACCTTTAAGGCAACCTAGAAGAGAAATCCTTCAAGTGCTCAGAATAATGGGAAGTTTCATGACATCACCTGCTGAGGAAGAACATAAAATATGGTTGAAAGCTTTGGAACAAGCAAGAAAGTGAACTTGTCTGTCTGAAAGGTTGGAGACAGGTTGGAGACAGATTATCTCAACTACTTTATTTAGAGGTAAACCCGAAATGTTGGAAAATAATTCTGTATTGCAGATGAAATCTAACCTAGTATCTAATCTATCAAACTACTGTATGTATAACTACGGCATATACACCTGGCCAAAGATGTTTGCTGTTGTTTTCTTGACATAATTGTGGCCAACAACCTGTCTGATAACTGGTTGTGTAGAGCTGCAACTAACACTTATTAGGGCCTGAGCACTGACCGTGCAAATCTGTAGGAATTATTATTCCAAACGATCGCATTTTCGAGGTCACGGCGCACATGTCAGTCGTCAGTTTTCTAGGGGTCCACTATGAGCATGGAAAAATGGCCCCTCAGGGGCCCATAAACTGTACCTCCCGGGGCCCCATAAAAATCGGTGAACACGTAGACCTTATCCTGACGTACAAAAAATCCAGTACGGTGTTGGGTTTACCTTGTCCATTCGGCTCCAAACTTTACTTGTCTGATAGGAGTCCTGAACACTTCTATGTGATAATATTCACTAATAGTGAGAGCGCCACCTAGTGGTGAAAGGAAATGTCATTTTTATACTTTTATGTAAATCTTCCAGCAGATTGACCAGAACCAGCTGAAATTCTGTCAGAAGTCTCTTAGGATGATGACGATGACATCTGTTTACATTTGAACAATATTTGAGGGGCTTAACATGCCCGAAAAACTCATGAAAGTTTGCACAAAATTCAGTCGTGGCAAACACTAATGTATTGTCTTGGTCCCGCAGATGGAAGTTGCAAAATGGCTTAGCCACAAGCAAAAAAGCCTGTTCGACCCATAAACCAAACTCAACAGGAAGTCAGCCATTTTTAATTGCGTGGTCATTTTTGGCGATTTTTTTCGCTTTTTGATTTGAATGAACTCCTCCCAGGGAATTTATTGGATCAACTTCAAAATTGGTCAGTACAGTTAAAAAACATTGCTGATTAAAAGTTGCGCTATTTGTGACTGTATGATGAAAAATAATTTGTGGCGCCCGTGGCGTTGAATTTTGACGATTCGCCATGAAACATAGTACTCAGTGTACAATGTCCAATCTCCACTAGACTTCACATATTCTGTAAAAGTCCTACCCTGAACATGTCCTCATAACTTCAATGTAGGTGGTCCAATCTCAATGAAACTTCATATGTTTGATAAAAGTCCCGCCCTGAACACGTCTACATGACAATATTCAGATATAGTGATAGCGCCACCTGCTGGCAACAGGAAGTAAGCGTTGCGTGATGATTTTGATCTGATTTACGTAAAATTTTCATGTTGTGGTCCGCACATTACACTTGCACGTGATGCGGCTGCAGCACACCGAGTTGTGTGGAGTGCGAGGGCCCGTTCATCACTGCTTGCAATTTTAATTTTGATTATAATCTATCAATTATTTTTAATTGATTTAAATGTTTTGCCAATAAATGTAGGGGGGGAAAAAAGCTCTTTACAATTTTTCCAGAGCCCATTTTGTTTTTATATTGCTCATTTTGTCCAATCCAGTCCAGTCCAAAAATATTTACTTTACAATGATAGAAACAAAGAACAGCAGACACATCCTCACATTTGGGAAGCTGGAACCAAAGAATGTTATATGAATTAATCAACTCAGTGATCCAGCTTTATGCTAATTCATAAAGATATAGTGGAGTCATGGTGTCCTGAGCAGACCTCCCTCTGACTGTGTTGCTATCGCAGTTTCTCTGTGCTTTGTTTACAATACCGGTCTGGCAGCGAGTGCATGTTAATGCATGGGAGTACATCCGTCTGAAGCTGCTGTTCTTCTCTCATCTGAGCGCTGAATTAGGGTTTACTTTAAGTTAAGATGTTACGATGATATGCAAGGTTAAAAGACCGTTTCTGTCTCTGGAGTTTGGTAGCAGTAGCAATGATAGCGATATTACGGCGGTTTCTGGTTAAACAAAAGCTCCATCTCTGTAGGGATCCTTTCCATAATGCTGTCAGACACTCAGAATAAGAATCTGAGCCTGTGAGTGGCAAAAACAAGAACTCTCAGTGGACGTACCTTGACCGGCGCTTTTGTGTCCAATGATCAGCTAACGTTCCATTGCAGACAGGGTCACGGCTATTTTCTCCTCTAACTCAGTGAATTAAGGCTTTATTTTGACTAAACCAGCGTTGGTGATTGATGAAAAGACTGTGGAAAAACTAACAAAGATGTTTCTGGTGAATTTTATTTTGTTTCTGTCCAGTTTGAAGTGTGTCTTTACAATTATCTGCTGGGTAAAATTACTGGTTTTGTCAATGAAGTCTCGCTTGCTGTAGTGCCAGTTGTCTTGGTCTGAGATGCTGTGGCTCTAGAGCAACATCTAGTGGCAAGTGAATTTCATATATATAACATTTAATGTACCTTTCTGAGGTTTTTAATATCAAATTAAATCAAGTTTCAAATCGCAAATCCTCAATGGGAAAAATACCAACACAGAACATATTTGAGAATTGTCAGTAAAAAAGTGCAATAAGAAGAAGAAAGCAGTACTTCTGAAAGACAATGTAAAAAAAACAGTTTAACAACTTAGGACAGCCCAGATGCAAGATAAAGGGATGTTCTATTATCTTGCAAATCATCTTATATGACAGTGTCAACTCCAAACTAATAATGTGCAATGCTGCAAAACAAAAGTCCCTACATATGAAATGAGGCAAGTGGGTGTGTAAGTGCACAACTGAGTGTGAAATGTAGAACTGCCAGCCATTGAGGCTGGAGGACAAAGCACCCACTCACACAAACATGGTGGACGTGCGCACACACCTATACACACACAAACACACACACACCTAGATATTAGCAGCATCTGCTTCCACAGGAGGTGGTACAATAGGTAAGAGGGGGACAGAGGTGGGAGGGGGTGTAGAGTCACCCCACCCCATCAACACACATGACAAGGTCGGCTCGCCGATTGGGTCCTAAGTGCTGTGCCATTCATCACAGCCAGGGAGCTAATTAGGAGAGAGAGGAGGAGAAAAAGAGAGAGGGCTACTTTCTTTCTAGTCCTCTTTATCACAAAACTCATCACCCTTTTCCCTCCCTTTCCTCTGTTGTAGCTGTCCTCTCTTCCCCATTCATCCTCCATCCTTCCCTTCGTCTTCCTTTTCTCCTTTTTTCTTTAGCCCGTCTTGCTGCCTCTCTCTCCTCCTCAGGATACTTTCTTTTCCCTCCATCTTGACGCTTCCCTCTTCTTTTCTTTCCCTCCATCTCCTTCCTCTCCCTCTGACTCTCATTTCTGCCTCCCGTCTCCTCCCGCTGTAATTTCTTCTTCCTCTATCGCTCCTTCCTCATCCCTCCCTCTCCTCTCCTGCCCTGTGCCAGTAGCTGTGCTGCCTCTGAATCTTCATTAGGGGGGGAAATGAAGCTGAAAACGAGGAGGCAGCCTGGACGGCCAAAAGCAGCTGCAGTCACTCAAACACACACATATCCTACAGTACGCTACAGTACACCGCTGCCCTGCCACAGGGCATAAGAAGACAGGTGTGCGAGCGTGTGTTTCTAGGTGTCTGTGTGAGATTGGGGTATGGCGTGAGGAGGGGAAATGAGAACAGCCAGCAGTGAGCCAGCAGTGATGTACAGTAGCTGCACACACACAGTTGAGACAGGGCACAGAGGGATAAGGAGTTTCAACAGAGGATAAGCAGGATATGGATGGTAGAAATCTGGACCACATGTAGTGAAAGAGTGCAGAAGTCAAAATTGGCCATAGTGGATGGAATAAAAAATAAAAAAAAGCAGAAACTCTGGGCCAAAAGAGTTGGAAAAAGAAAAAAGGAGCAGTGGGTAGCAGAGTGGAGAGCAGGAGTTGAGGAGAAGAGAGCTGAGGGCCAAGGGAGCTACAGAGAGGCACCGCGAGGAGCCAAAGTGAAAAAAACCCCACAAAGCTGGAAAAGTGAACTTCAGCTCAGGCCTTACGTAACGATGCAGCATTGCTGCTACGCATGCTTTATGGTATGATATTATCTTACACCAGCCTATAATTTTAGGTCTTGAACCATACAAATCCAAATCAAACATTACAGGCATACAGTAGGGCAGGAGCTGGGATTTGAGTAGACAGTACGCAGGCTTTGTGTGTCGAGAGGTGATCTTCTGTGACCAGAAGGTCACAGGGTCAGACTCCATTAAACATAGTATGCGATTATGAGCGCCCTTGAGCGAGATAATGACGTCTCTGCTCCACTGTCATCTCAAATGGCTGAACCTGAGCTCTGACCCCGTTGATGAAAAAAGTGTGCGAACAATCACAGACTGCAATGTGCAACATGCTAATCTAACATTTAGAATGTACAGACTCTTGTGTCTGGCAGCACACATTCCACTGACTGAAATTCATATTCCAT